GGTTAAAGGTGGTGTCATATTCTAGAGACACTGGTCCTTCCCTTGAGATGAGAAAAACAAGTGAAGCTTTGGCCAGCTACAGTATGACTTGTTTCCCATCATGCATCTACTTACAGTGACACTTCAGACTGCAGGAGCTTAATATGAGTTTACAGTGTTATTTCAACAGTCTTTCTACATTTTACTGTAACATCACTGAACTGTAGCTTCTGTATATGGCTACAACATTCATCACCAAAGGTTTGTGGTTGCAGATCTGCACTCAATAAGCAGATTATATTAATGTAAAGCCATTTTTATATTGATTAACCTACGTGTTATTTTTGGATACTCCAAATTTTATGAAGGATTTATAGTTAAGCAGTGAAGACAAAGTCTCCTGTGTCTTCCTACAGTGGTTTTTGCCTGTAGCTCAGCCAACAAAAAAATGGGTTCCACAGAGTTTATACTTTACTCTTGATTTTTCAGGCAGTTTTTTCTCACTCATCTAAGCGCAGTATTTTGTGTTGAGGTCCCCCTTTCTCTTCTGAAGTTTGGAGTTCCCACAGATTCATCCTTTGAGATGAATAATAGAAAAATTGTAGCCTTGCATTCTCACTGTCACTGCACTTCCATAACGTCTCTGCTAAAGCCTAGTTTGGTCATTAGAAGAAAACTCACCGCCTTGCATGCTGCTGGCGTTTTTGAGTAGTTTACATAACCTTGTGTCAAATTCCATCCTACTGATTACAGCATTACGTAGCAGCACTTCAGCCCACTGTTTTCGCGCGGTGAAGGTTAACTTCTCATGTGTTGAGTGTCAACACACGTGTATGTGTGTATGGTCGTAAAAGTGCTGGTACTTAAGGCTCACTCTTTTCGGTCCATGTTTCATGCAGGGCACATATACAAACATTTTACGTGTGTTTGGCTCAGAAAGAGTGATTGGTCATTTTGAAGCTTGGACTACCGTGGTTTTAAAACCGGCATTTTGGTCCATAGAAAATTATAGTTTTACTTTTTTTATACAGTATATAGAAAGGGTGACCTGTCAGATTTGACCTTATCAAAGCCAGGACATCATCATGGAAACCACTTCAATATACAGTACACTATAAATAGTTTTCCTAAGATAAGTTGTTAAGCAATAACAGGCAACAATGTTAATTTGATTCCATCACAAATGCTATTTTCTATCACATTTAGACCTTATAGATGACATCATTTTACATCAAGTGACATACAAAAGGGTTACAATCTGAGCCACAGTAGAAAAAGGAGAAGTCATTGAAGTGCAAGAACAAGAAAACGAAAGAGCATAATATATGAGTAAGTTCTCTGAGAAGAAATAGGTCTTCAAGTGAATTTCAAAGGCAGAAAGGGATTTTTGAAGTGAGTTCAGTAACTCATTCCACCTCTGAGGTAGAGTCGAAAAGTTTGGATTAAGAATTGAAACCACCAGGCGTTCAGTCTTAAAGAGGATGAGTTGAAGGCGCCATTCAAACATTTTGATACATCAGTGAAGCAGGCAGAGCTCCACTCTGAGACAGTACAGCCATCTTGCGAGAATGACAGATAGAAGTGGGTATCATCAGCAGAGCGATGGTCAGAACTCAGGTTTACCAATCCTTGTGGTACCCCAGTGGAAAGAAAGTGCCACTTTGAGCATTTGCACTGCGATGTAAGACTGAGTACTTGTAAGAGTGTAGTTGACTAATCAAGCCTAACCTCTAATGCATAATCACATTTAGATTGAGTGGAATAGTCCAAAAGTGAACCAAAGTGGTGGGAAAACATGAAGCCTTTGTCTCCACCCATGTTTTTCCCAAGAGTTCCTTCTTAGGACTCCTCTGTGTGAGGCTATCCAGGTTTAAAAACACACATATACACACAGCCATGTTCAGATACAAACACATACACTCACACACATAAGCACAAGTGTGGTAACGCATATCTCAAAGAGCATATGGACGTTTGGCTCTCTCGAGGATACTGTGAAAGCGCACATGCACCCTGTCTTAAGCCAGTGAAAATGATGTAAGTTAAAGCATACAAATACTGCACACCCCAAATCTCCTCTCTGGTCAAACCTATAAAATGTGATATGGCCTTTAACACACTCAGCTAAAGCTGTATTAAACATAGACAGTCAAAAGCTGTGTTTCCACCGGGGTTTAAATAAAGTTTTTACTGCAGTCGTGGAACGGTTTAAATTATTAACCTATTTCAACACCAGAGGTAACACTGTGGACGGCTCGAGCCTCATCAAAGACCGGCTCTCAGTTTTTGTGTTACTCAATAACAACAGAGCACAAACTACTAGCCTTATTGTTGAATGAGGGTTCAATTACTAAGTTGTGTTATCCTAATCTCAATTTTAAAATGCCAATATAATGGCTGAAAGGAGGACATTGGAAATTTAACTTGTGTGGTGTTAAAAGAAGGTTGACATGAGGTCCTGTATGTAATTGCTTTTGCTTCAGACATATCCTGGAAAGGTTGGTGAGCTCATGGAAAACCCTGATCTTTTACTAAAAGTCTGCAGATCCCAGCTGGTTTTCTGGCTTCCCTTTAATGGCTGAATCACGGGCTGGCAACAAACTACTGAAATGCTTATCAGGGCAGTAGCCAGATGATTAGTAGAAGAGACATTTACGTGGAATGTAGCTGACTTAAATTCAAGGAAAGGCTGGAAAAGTGTGTTTGTGGTAGGTGTGACTGAACACAAAGACCTTTCTTCCCCCTTAAGAAGACCTGCTAGAGTACCCATCAGCAATGCACTTAACAACTAACCCCAAAGAGATCAATACTTTGTTGGCAAATTGGCAAATAAGGGTTTTAACGTTCTCCAGCTCTGAATGTGCCACGGAGTAATGGACCATGAATTAATAGAAAATAGCCCTCATGGCTGACATTTATTAAACTCAAGGTCACTATATGAGAAGACACTGTTTTCTTATTTTTCATATCCTTTACATTCCAAAGTAAATACCGCTCTGGTTACTTTTGTTATTAAGTCCAAATTAGATAAATTAAAGGGTTTCTGTATATTCAGCAAGCAATGGTGTTCTGGATCAAGACTCAAGAAAATTTCTCATTTTGTGAAAAAGGCAATACCTTTACTTGAGTTACGATTGATTCTGGCCAAAAAAATTATGTGATTCAGTTTAAGGTAATTTGACAACCTAGCAAATTTAAGTCCAGTATTAATTCTCTTTTAGTTCTGTTTTGGTCTCCACCAACTCCTGAGGTAAATATCTGGCTCAATAGCTGCACGATCTTCACCAGCTATTTGCTAACTTTGTTGGTCTGATGTTTGGTGCTCAGCAAGTAGTGCACATTGGCATTTTATAGCTTTTTTTTAATGAAGCCAGCTGCCCGATGCAACAGGAAACAAGGATGATGAAGGTGGTGAGAGTGAACCAAAATTAAAAGTTAAAAATTAAATTAATCTGTGGGCCAGGAAAACAAAACAATGACCTGAAGTATGTTGTGCAGTTAAAATATATATATATATAATATGTTAATATAAAAATATCTATTTGTGCAGCTGTAACTTAGAATAGAAAACACTGCTGATTCCGGGTATTGAGAGTTTAGGGCAAATATAAACATCCATCTGCAGTGCTTTCATGTTAAAGACACAATTTGTATTAACTATTTCTAATTATGGTCCCTCAGAATAATACCTTAGACACCAAGATGCTGCTGCAAATGTCTTTATTGTTGCTCTGAGAGTGTCAATAAATCCAGATTATTCTTTCCAAGCTTTCAGAAAGCAATTGTGATAAGCTTGTAATCACTGTTTTATCAATTTGCACTTAAAAGTAAAAAAGGCGTGTGTTTAGCATCACTATCATTGCATAAACTCTTTAGAGAGGCCATAGTGTCAAAAAGAGAAGAATTGTCTGTCGTATCTCTTCTTGGAAAGGTCCTCTGCTTATGAGGTCAAAAAGGCAAACTCAAAGTATTTATTAGCTCTTCTTCAGATTTATATTTGAGGAAGTCTGCTGTTTTTGAACTTAGACAAATGGAGGAGAAGTGTTTACTGAGTTCTTATCGTTTGTCATGAGCGTTGAAGTATGTTTTGGTAGTTTTGAAGACAAATTAAAGAGAGTGTTTACTGCTCAGCACAATTTGGGGCCCTGACCCAATGACCCAGAGGAGAGGACATGAGAAGAGGAAGAGAGGAGTGATGAAGAGAGACTTAATGAGATATGAAAAGGTGTTTGAAGGCGAACCAGGCAGTGATTTTAGTACATTACAACTATCTAATTTTCTGTTGCTACATGATTGAGAGGTTGTTGTTTATTCTCCTTGTTTGTTAGTTTGTTAGTAGGAAATCTAAAAAAAAAAAAAAATATGAAATTTGGGTTTAAGTTTTTCCTGAAAGTGTGGGTCCATGTTCAACCATTCTTGAAGGAATTTTCTTCAAGAATGGTTGAACATTTTGGGAAAAAAATGCTTGTTAATTAAACCAACACGATATTTTAATTAGTGAGCTTCAGCGGTTCTGGTAGGTGGATTTTGTCACCTTTGGAAAGAGCCAGGCTAGCTGTTTCCCTCAGTTTCCAGTCTTTACGCTAAGCTAAGCTAAGCTAGCTTCTCTAACTCTTGGCAAAGAAAACAAAAATATATGCATTCATATTTTCATTATCTTCATCTCAACAAAAGAATTTGTAGCAAGCCGTGCTACAGACGGGGTTCCCCAGCACACAAAACTCCCGGACCAGACTGTCGGCTCACACAACTCTTTATTTAAGGCACAAAATGCAGCTGCACCGCTGCTCGGCAGCTTCCGCCCAGAGGCCTGTCTCTCGGTGTGTGTCTTCCCGGATCCAGCACACTACTGCCAAGATAAAAGGTAGAGTCATCAGACAATCATTGGCAGGTGAGGTAATCAACTCACCTGGTGCCACTCTCCCAGGCCTTCCCCACACCTCTCCCTCCTGCAGCTGAGCGCGAACCACGCCCACCTCCACATACCCCCACCGCCCGATTTAGGCCGGGCGCCATCCGGCCTAACCTACTCCCCCCCCCATAGGAGCGGGAGAGAAAGTCGGCCACGGCCATCTGCGCCCCAGTCTATGGACCACCCTGAATTTAAACGGCTGTAAGGCCAGATACCACCGAGTGATCCGGGCGTTGGCATCTTTCATGCGGTGGAGCCACTGGAGGGGGGCATGGTCCGAACAGAGGGTGAACGAGCGCCCCAGCAGGTAATAACGCAGAGCCTCGACCGCCCACCGGATCGCCAAGCACTCCTTCTCGATCGTGCTATACCGAGACTCCCTCTCCGACAGCTTCCGGCTGATGTATAACACCGGGCGGTCGACACCCTGCACCTGCTGGGACAGAACGGCCCCCAGCCCTCTGTTCGAAGCGTCAGTCTGCAGGATAAAGGGGAGAGAGAAGTTAGGTGTGTGAAGAAGAGGCTTCCCACAGAGGGTTTGTTTTACCTTCTCAAACGCCAGCTGACACTGCTCCGTCCACTGGACCGGATCTGAGGCACCCTTTCGAGTGAGGTCGGTCAGGGGGCTGGTCAAGTCTGCAAAGTGCGGAATGAACCGCCGGTAATAACCTGCCAGCCCCAGGAACCGCCTCACCTCCTTTTTGGTCTTGGGCCGTGGGCTGGCTGCAATTGCTGCTGTCTTGTCTACCTGAGGACGCACCTGCCCACTGCCCAAGTGGTACCCCAAATACCGTACCTCCCTCCGTCCAACTGCACACTTCCTCGGGTTGGCAGTGAGCCCCGCCTGCCTCAGTGACTCGAGCACCGCCGCCACACTCTGCACATGCTCCCGCCAGCTGTTACTATGGATGATAACGTCATCCAAGTAGGCGGCCGCATACGCAGAGTGCGGACGCAGGACCCGGTCCATGAGATGCTGGAAAGTGGCTGGGGCCCCAAACAACCCGAAAGGAAGTGTGACAAATTGGTACAATCCATACGGAGTGGAGAAGACCGTTTTTTCCTTAGACTCTGGAGACAAGGGAATCTGCCAATAGCCCTTGGTTAAATCCAGTGTCGTGAAAAAGCGAGCAGTGCCTAACCGATCCAGGAGCTCGTCGACCCGAGGCATCGGATAAGCATCAAACCGTGACACATCATTCACCTTGCGATAGTCCACACAGAACCGAATAGACCCATCCTTCTTAAGTACCAGAACAATGGGGCTACACCAGGCACTGTTGGACTCTTCTATTACCCCCATCTCCAGCATGGCCTTCAATTCCTTCTGAACCACCTTTCTTTTGTGTTCAGGTAACCGATAGGGCCGTGAACGCACTGTCACGCCCGGGTGAGTCTCAACATGATGCTGTATGAGATTTGTGCGTCCTGGCAGGGGGGGAGAACACGTCAGCAAAACGCTGTTGCAACGCGGCAACGTCTGCTCTCTGGGACGGTGTGAGATGGTCATCACAATGGAGTGAGGCAGGATTGGTGGAATTTGGGACCTCAGGCCCCAACTCATCTCTCTCTTTCACCGTGGTCACCAGAGAAACAGGCTCCGCCTCTCTCCACGCTTTAAGGAGATTGAGATGGTAAATCTGTGCTGCACCTCCCCTGTCAGAACGCCCAACCTCATAATCGACATCACCCACTCGCCGTGTGACCACGAAGGGCCCTTGCCACTTGGCGAGTAATTTAGAGCTGGAAGAAGGGAGTAATACAAGTACTTTGTCTCCCGGTGCAAATTGTCTGAGCCTAGTTCCTCTGTTGTACAGGCGCTGTTGACGCTCCTGGGCCCTGAGCAAATTCTCCCGTGACAACCGGCCCAATGTGTGGAGTTTTGCTCTCAGGTCCAGGACGTACTGAACCTCATTTTTACTTGGGCTCGGACCCTCCTCCCAGCTTTCTTTAACAAGGTCCAGAACCCCCCGTGGTGTCCTGCCAAACAGCAGTTCAAAGGGAGAAAATCCCGTTGAGGCCTGGGGCACCTCACGCACTGCAAACAACAGAGGATCTAGCCACCTATCCCAATTACGGCCGTCATCGTGCACAAACTTACGGATCATGGACTTCAGGGTTTTGTTCAGACGCTCGACAAGGCCGTCGGTCTGAGGGTGGTACACACTAGTCCGAATTGACCTGATGCCCAATAACCCATAAAGTTCCCGGAGTGTACGTGACATAAACGAGGTGCCCTGGTCCGTTAGGATTTCTTTTGGGATCCCAACTCGGGAGATGACCTGGAACAGTGCCTGTGCCACACTCTTTGCAGAGTTGCATAATCCACTAGGACTAATACAAAGCGATATCCTCGTGCGCTCCGGTGAAATGGCCCGATGAGGTCCATGCCAATACGCTCAAATGGAACCTCCATGAGTGGTAATGGGCGCAAAGGCGCTCTCGGGATGGCCGGTTGGTTAACCAACTGACATTCCGGGCAAGATGCACACCAGCGGCGTACATCTGCCCTAATGCCAGGCCAATAGAATCGGGCCATTATCCGGTTAAGTGTCTTCTCATACCCCATATGCCCCGCCATTGGGTTATAATGAGCCGCCTGGAAAACTGTTTCCCGGCGGCTTTCCGGCACCAACAACTGGGTGATTTCCTCTCCTGACTGAGTGTCACGACTCACTCTGTATAACCTGTCCCTAACCAATGCAAAATGCGGATATGTCTGCGCTGCGTCAGGGTGCACCAACTGACCATCAATTTTTATCACTTGGTCAAAGGCAAAGCGTAGAGTATTGTCGCGAGACTGCTCGAGTGGAAAATCTTCCGTGGAGCGCAACATGGGGACCTGTGGAGCCTCTGGCGGAGGCACCACCGATCCCTCCTCCCCCTCTGCAGCGTCGGACAACCTCGCGTCACCACTGAGCACAGCGCACATATCCCATGTCCCTACCGGCCGTGAACGCACCCCCCGCACACTGCCCCACTAATCGATTAAACCCAGGCCAATCCGTGCCCAAAATCAGGGGGTGCGTCAGGCGGGAACTAACCGCAGCCTTAACAATATGCTTTTTACCCATATATCTAATTTCCACGGGTACAACCAGGTATCTGTGAATATCCCCATGTACACATCTAATGTCCACCCACGATGCCTCTACCAAAGCCCCGGGCCGAACCAGGTGCTGATGAATTATAGACTGCGTGCAGCCCGAATCCACCATTGCCTGATGTATACCCCCTTGGATCCTTACCGGGACGCTGTATGTCCCTCCTGGACCGGGGAGGGTGTTGGTGGGCCAGCAACCCGGATCACCTGCCCGACCTCCATGAGAGGGCACTCCCTGCGGAAATGCCCGGGCTGCCCGCACCGCCAACACTCCTGCCCTGACGCCTGAGGAACCCCCTGTGGGCCGAGAGCGGCACCCGTAGCGGCTGGACCCTGGGAAGGAGAGAGAGAAGAGGGTTGGTTACTGCGTGGCAGAGGGAGAGGCCGGGCAACAGTTTCCAGTCGGGGGGTAAGCGGGGGTGGGGGGTCTCCCTGCGGGGCGCCGGCACGGGTCGGGCGGGTGCAGAGGGCCGCCTCTCCGGAGCTCGGTCCCCACCGTGGACAGCCAGATGATCCTCTGCGAGGGTGATGGCGGCCTCCAAACCCGCCGGTCGGTGGCACCGCACCCACTCCGCGGTCCCGGTCGGGAGCCCCTCCACAAACTGCTCCAGCACCACCTGCTCCAGCATCAGCCTCTCGCCGCTGGATCCCCCCGGCTGCAGCCACCTGGTGGCAGCGTCCTTCAGCTGCTGCGCAAAGACGAATGGACGGTCAGAGGATCCCAGTGTGGCGGACCGGAACCGGCGGCGGTGATCCTCGGGGGAGAAACCCATCCTGTCTAGGATGGCTCTTTTGACGTTCCGGAACTCCCCCCGAGCAGAAGCTGGCAGGCCGAGCGCCGCAGTCTGGGACTCTCCCGACAGCAGGGGAAGCAGGCGCACGGCCCACTCCGCCGCCGGCCAGCCACAGGCCTCCGCCGTCGCCTCAAACATTTCGAGGAAGGTTTGGGGGTCATCCGCCGCTGCCATCCGGTGCATGGTGATGCCGGAAAAGGAGGAGCATGGAGGGGATGGAGACTGTGCCCCCGACCGGGCCAGCAGTCCCTCCAGCAGCTGGTTCTGCTTCCCCGCCTGGTTCTGGAGTGCCTCCAGATGCCGTCTATTTGTTGCCGTCTGCTGGCTGTGTATTGCCGTGATCTGCCCCAGCATCTCTCCCAGCAGTGTGATCAGCTGTGATGGCTGCTCCGTAGGCGGCTGCGGGGCCGGCTGCGGAGGTGGCTGCTGTGGAGGCTGCTGCATGGGCGGTAGTGGATCGGACATTTCCGTGTGCTGCCCCACGTTGGGCGCCAGTGTAGCAAGCCGTGCTACAGACGGGGTTCCCCAGCACACAAAACTCCCGGACCAGACTGTCGGCTCACACAACTCTTTATTTAAGGCACAAAATGCAGCTGCACCGCTGCTCGGCAGCTTCCGCCCAGAGGCCTGTCTCTCGGTGTGTGTCTTCCCGGATCCAGCACACTACTGCCAAGATAAAAGGTAGAGTCATCAGACAATCATTGGCAGGTGAGGTAATCAACTCACCTGGTGCCACTCTCCCAGGCCTTCCCCACACCTCTCCCTCCTGCAGCTGAGCGCGAACCACGCCCACCTCCACAGAATTATATACAGTAGTGTATGTGTTATGTGTGCATGTGTTCTCATGATGCTTCCCCAGTTTAACTTGAATTTGTGAGGTCCAAGAGTTCTCAGTAGGACAATACAAATACAACCTTTACGTACTTCCTTTCAGGAATGAAATGAATGATACAAACTGATTTGGGGTTAGTGTTAGGATGAGCATTGAATTATTGTCTGTTTTTGTTTCTGTCTGTGGCTGTGTGTGAGTTTCCAATACTTCAAAGGCTGTCTGCTGCCCCTGAGGCCGTCATAGACACCACACAGGTGTTTCCTTTGAGAAGACACATACCGTCAACATTTTAGTCATGAGCCACAAGTTCTATGACCACAAACCCTTCAAAAATACTTTCTCCTCAAAGTATGTCTTCATCCACCAAGCACGCTTTAGCTTAAAGCAATCAACATCTGCTGGAGTGAAGAGCGGGATGTGGCTTCTGCTGCTGCTATAACACGTCAAAAGCTTTTAAAAGTTCATTGCTTAAAGTTATTTACTTTCACAGCCTGTTGCTTTGAGAATAAAGGCATGCCTGGGTCACACAGACACACCTTCTAAATACTTAGCTTAGGAGAAATAACACCAGTGTTTTTACAGGCCCTGGGATAGACAGAGTTTAACACGTGTGAAATACTTCAGGTCCACAAACCAAATAGTTTTTAAGTCAGAGAATTTTTGGCTCAGAGAATGCTAACAAAATTATTTTGGTCTATGTGGGGGACAGATCTTCAGACAGACAACATGGACCCCTGTCACAATATTGCAGCGTCTGTTGCTCAGTCAGCAGCACAATCCTCCAGATGCTCTCGCTCAGTAATTGTTTCTCTTCAGCAGAGTCTACGTGAAGCACACACTAATAGGAGTGGGCCGCTGACCTCTTTCACCTGGAGGGTGAACAGTAACAGGGCATGTTGTCTGTCTGGATGGATGATCGCATGGCTGGCTGCTTGGCAGACTGTCTGCCCACCTCTGACTCTTTCTCACTCGGTCTCTCTTTCTGTCTTACTCTGTCTTTCTGGCTTGTGCTGTTTCTCTCTTGATACACTTACGCAGAGGGATGATTCTAGGGAAGAATTTATAGGAGCATATTATATCTGTAGTTTTTCAGTACACCAGGTTGAGAATTACTGACTTGGACTACAGTATTTACAGTTATTAAATTACTAAATCTCATCATAAGACTATATCTTATCAACTAGGGGTCCTACGGCTTTATCTGTATCAATCTAGTCTCTGATCAACTATGATCTAATTACTTTTTTTTTATAACTGGGATTTATAGATTTTTGTTACTTGTCCACAAAGCATAACACATTTTGGGGGTCAGACTGCTGTTCTCATTAACCTACAAGGATGGAGAAATCAAAAGGATGAGTCATGAGAGACTCATTAACCATGTTTAGTCTTGGAAGACATGACTGGGTCAAACGGTAAGCTCAAATCACAGTCAAATGATAGGAAGCCGCACCTTAAAGAGGCGAAATGTTGTTTGGAAGGTCACTGAATTGTGAACAATTTTTATTTCAGTGGCCAAAATTTTAAAATGATGTCTTGTGATGATACACAAAAGATTATAGAGACAAACAATAATGGAAAAGTATGTGTATGTGTATGTATATGTATATGTATATGTATGAGTCTAAAATATCCCCTGTCTATATGAGGCATCTGCTGATACTAGAATTCACTTTGCAGACACCCGAATCTCCCACAAAGACAGCATACCTTTGAGGGTCTCCTTACAGTGTAATGTTAATAAAGCCTTCCCAGCCCTCCTCCTGCTCCGGGCCCAGTAGGGGAGCTAGAAGATGGGCGCCTGGTGATCAGACTTTGACACACAAGAGCCCTGTCACGCTGAACCGGATGAGGGCACCATGGATGAATTATCATAAAGGATCTAGTGTACCAATCGAGCAACTTATACTGAACAAATATAAAGAAAAATTAGGCATTAGTCAGGACATTGTGCTAGAGCCGCAGGCTTCATTGAAGAAGTTTTCTTTAAATCATTCTCCTGAAATCTTTCCTGAACTTTTACCTTAATATTTATGAGATGTAAGACTTGGCTTATCAATTATGGTAACCATGAAGTTGGTAATGTTCTAAAACAAGGCCTTGAGGCTGCAAAGCCCAAAACAGTCTGTTAGCTCAAGTGGTCCTTTTTCCCATGTGCTAATGAAGGCCAACTGCTCTGATTCGTTCATGTTGACATGGGCAAAAAAAACATATGCATATAAACAATGATAACAGTGTGTATCTCACACTGTTTGTGTGTGTGTGTGTGTGTGTGTGTGTGTGTGTGTGTGTGTGTGTGTGTGTGTGTGTGTGTGTGTGTATGTGTGTATGTGTAGAAAAGTCACTTAATACTCTTCTTTTTTCTGTACTAAATTGGCCATGGTATGATGCAATATTCCCTTGGTAGCCAGTTCTTTGGTCTTGAATTTGGCAAATTCAACACTGAGACCAGAACATAATCCCAAACAGGAATATGGTGTGTCCTAGAGGCACTTGTATCTGCGACCAGAACACTTTTCAGTTTTCCCTTTTGACAGTTGCATTCTGTAAAGTGAATAATGAATAACTGTAAAGGGCTGAGAAACATTTTCTACGCAAATCAAATCCAAAGCAGCTGTTTCCAAAACAGTGCAAAACTGAATTGAAAAATGTTTCTTAGGCAGACATCCACATTGCTGTAAGGGCATCTGAACACATTTCCTGTAGTTTGACATGTATGTAATGAGCATGTGGCTCATCTTTTTCATATATATATATATATATATATATATATATATACAGAGAGAGAGAGAGAGAGAGAAAATCCACAGAGCCTCATGGCATACATGTGTACTTAGCACTCCAAGCAGTCTATAGGGTCTGTTCTACTTTTATTATTGCTGCAGGAGACTTCTTCATTAACTGCCCATGAGGCATGTAGTTGTTTCTGCAACTGCTTTGATGGTATCGAATTATTTCAGTTGTAATTTATGATCACATTAATGATGAATAAAAGATTTGAAGACATTATTCCTACCTACCTCCTACATATTCATTTATTTATATAAACTATAAATTTCCTTAAATTAATCTATTTTTAAACATATACAACCTAAAAACCCTAAAAAAGGCAGTCAGTAACATAAAAATTGTGAATGGTAAAACAAAACCAGTCTTTGCATAAACAAAAGCAAAACATTTTGCCTCTTTTTCCCAGAACAAATGCAAATGACAAACATATAAAACACACCGTACGTCCACACACAGTATACACATTTGCAAAGCTGTCATCTGGGTTCCTACATTTACGTTCCACAGCACAACAGGAACAGCTCTGTGCTTTGATCATCAAACGCAATGTTAACCTTCAGTGCCCCTTATCACCGCAAAAGTGAGTGAAACCATAGGGTGACCTCATGCTAAGATGTGGCCCATATTCCCACTTTGGTTTACATCCAAACTTCCTGTCTTCTCGGCAGTGAACGCAACTCAGAGAAGGGGTGGTGTAATGTTTGTGTGTGTGTGTGTGTGTGTGTGTGTGTGTGTGTGTCGACAGCCATGATAAAATTTGATTTGCAGCTTTCAAAACGTAGCATTCAGATTTGTTTTTACTTGTGCCCCTGCCAGAGAACGTATGTATGTATATATGGTTAGAAAGAGAGGAGGAGACAGAAAGAAAAGGGTTTCATAGACAGAGGACTTACAAGTTATGACATATGGATAATAGCCATATAAAGATAAAGAGCCAGACAGAGAGAATGGAGGGACAGACCATATTCAAAGATGACATAAGGGTTTGATTCCACCCTCCAATGAATTATTACATTGTTCCTCTACACAGTGAAATGATTTCCACACAGCTACCCACTACTCCTCTTTGAGGGGATGGAACCCTGTGGATATGTGTGCATGAGAGAGTACCGACCCTGGAAAGGCTCTCATCCTGCTCTGAAGGCCATTGTGCACAGAAGAGTCTCTATATGCAGTGTTTCCCTAATCTAATTCTATGGGAATTACATTCTATTGGGGGGGGTGCATGCTGTCAATCTCACCTGTCGCTTCTTCCCTAACTGGCTCTTCCTCAGCCGCCGTCCTCCTCAAAACAAATTAATTGGGACTAATCGGACCTTTATGTAGCAAGGCTCAAAGGCTTTGGTTTTTCACTTTAACCAAGTGTTTTAGTTCCCTAACCTTCACCTTCATTGGCATGAACAGAAAGTAAGAAATGTTGACAATGAATCTAAAAAAAAACCCATTGTAACTGAACGCTATCTTCAGGTTTTGCAGAATCGTCAGATATCAATGTTTTTGTCTACCGAGTTCAATGACCCAGGTAACCACAACCTAGGAATGCTAGGAGGAAAACCTCTGAGAAATAAAAAAGTTTAAATAATTTTTGTGTATTTTGCACTGGTTCATTAAAAATCAGAAGAAATAACCAAGCCAGAAAATGACACACATTGAGATGTAAAGAAAGGCAATGAACAGGAAAATGAGAAGCTTTAAGTGATATTTTAGACCAGTCATGCAGTGATGATTGATATTCAAAGTTTTCAGTTTGTTTGTCCAGACACTGTGCACAGTGTGCAGGGCTTTGAGTTAGTTTCGTCCTTTAATTTCTTAATCCCTGCCAAGCTTTGTCACCACAATGAAT